GTGAGATGCAACCATAGTGTCTCCCTGAGAATCTGCTGTTTATCTCAAGTAACAGGAGATGTTTAAGGGCCAAAGCTCCTAAGAGTGGCGATATTCCACCTCCAGCCTCACCTGTCTGGGCGCAGACGTTTTCCCAGGTGCCTTCCCGATCCCGTCTCTGCGTCCCCAGCAGAATGGAGTCCCTCTCCAGTTCTATTTACTTCCTCTGCTAATATCACAGCCAAGAAAACCATCAGGAAAACATTCTTACAGTTATTTATTTAAAAAAAAAAAAAAAGGCATCATGTTCTCTAAATGTGTCATCCTACCTCCTGCTTATTATTTGGATGTTAACTCTTTTTTTAAAGCCTTGAAACAAAAAATGCCTAGTTTTGAGGTTTGAAAATCAAACCACTGTGTGCGGCGCCGGACCACTCGCGCTGGCCCCTGTCTTTCCTCTGGGCTTTGCTGAGAGTGATGTCATCTGGACACATGGAAACCTATTGTCCCAGTAGGACTCTGAAGTGCCCTTTGTTTCGCCGGGGACCACTGACTCACAAGCTCGGGGCGACCACATGAATTCTGGCATTCCGTGGTTGGGCCGCTTCCGCCCGCTGCATGATTTGACAAAAACCCGTCCCTTCCTCCTCCGCACCCCTGGGACGCTGCTCCTCAGGGCTTAATGCCTAATCACTAGTTTTTAGTTTTTGTTTGCTTCTAGTTCCATCAATATTACACAGAACAACGTCACTACAAATACCTTTTTTCTTTTCCCTCTCTCCTTTGCCCTCCCTTGCCAACTTGCTGCACACGGGCCATACTGTCTGAACATTTTAATCCCCTGGGAACAGAGCGAGTCTGTCTGGGCACAGGCACCGCTGAGCTTCATTCGCCAAACGCTTTCATCAGCTGCTGATAGATGCTGCCTCCTCTCGGGTCCGCCTCAGCCGCTTAAAACTTTTGGGAAAACATACTCTGCTCCATACAAAGTTCTCCTTAGGCTCAGAGAGACAGTTCTCCGAGACTTGTCTTTTAGCAGGGACCCCAGAAAAGAGAGGAACCTTATAGATTTGAAGTATAATAACTGCAGATGGAAACTATTTTGTGCTATCAACGAACACAAGAAATAATGACAAGCCTCCAGAGAGAGGTGTTACCTCCCTCAGTGAGGTGCAAGGAGGTTCAGTGGCCTCCAGAGATTAAAGCGTCCCGCTGCCGACCCTCCACTCAGACGCTAAAAGGATGGCAGACAAAACCTTTGCATGGAAAAGGGGCTTTCGTTGTTTCTCGTTATTATTGTTTTTGTTTTTATTCTTTCAACTGGAAGATCATTCTCATGAAAATCTTCAGCCCTGGCACCTAGAGAGATGTTCAGCCAGGACCGCTCAGTGCTTGGAAGCTGTGAAAATCGACTTGTGCTCTCAAAACATGTGGACCCTCCAGTGGAGTTTTGGCTTTGTGTGAACTGCCTTCCTTCCAGTAAAAACATGGGAGAGTGGCGGTTTCCCATAGAAGATGCAGCGCGAAGCTGTAATCTGGGGAGGAGATGAGTAAACACATTGCTGAATAGCAGTGTGGAAGGAGAGACACAATTGCCTGGTTGTTCCAGCGAAAACACAGGGGATTGGTGGACTGTTCTTGTAGAATTGGGTTTATGCAACCCCTGTGTGCTCTCTCTCCTTCTCTCTCTCTCTCCTCTCTCTCTCTCTCCCTCTCTCTTTCTCTCTCATACACACACACTTTCTTTAGCCCAAAACTACAAAGTGCCTCTGACCATCTATTCACTGCCTAGAAACAAACCAAACAAAACACACACTTTAAGCTTTCTGATACTCACAGACAATTCGTACATCATACACTTCCCATTAACTTGTTGGGGCCAATGGAGCTAAAGGGAAAGCAATATTTATTGAGAATAGTTGATGCCCTAGGCACACAATTTATCTCCTTTAACCTTTTAGTCCCTACACCCATACACACACACACACACAAACACACACACACACACCAGTATCTCAGGAATGAAACTAGTATCCCTGTTTCTATAGAGGAAAAACTATGTTAGGCTGAAAAAAGTAAGTAACTTGTCCAAGGTCATACGCATTTGTATACATGTAGGATGTTGGCATAGCTCACTATGGTGCATGGTGGTGGGGGAAGAGATCGTGGACAGAGATGCGAAGGTGTCATGTCTGTCTTCTAAATTCCCATGTTTTATGCCGCATAGCTCTGCAAACATTTTGCTCTCACGTGGTGACTGTCCAAGCTTCCATTCTTTATAATTTACCAGTCAGTGCATTAGATAGAAAAAGAGAATTAATTTAATGAGGCCTAAGTCATATTTAAAATGCTATATTTTCTAGATGTTTTTCTATAACCATGTATTTGTTTTATAGTTTAAAAATAGTTTAAAACATCAATTGTTGGGTAACGATTATTAATTCTATCTCTTTAAACTTTACATCTATTACTTAATACGGTGCTTATGCACTTAGCTCATTTTATGACCCTCTCAGCTTAGAAAAATCTTAATTTTACCAAGTCATAAAGGTGAAGCTAATATACTGCCATGCTTGTGCAAGAATGAGTAACGAAAGGACTGAAAAGGACCAATTGCAGGTTGCTGAGAGTGATATATTTGATCTAAGCAAGGGTGCAATATTGGTTGCCTCTGATGACTTTGTATGCTATAACCAAAGCCAATTATAGCTTCAGAGTTTCAACAAACAATGCCATCGCTGGCCAAACAACACTGAAAGAGAGAACTGTTAATATCTCAGATTCTATGTATGCTAACAGATTAAATTATTAAAAAGGCGATCGCTTAAAGGGCATTTGGAATTAAGTTGTAGAGACATAGGGGCTCCACGGTGAAGGGCAGGTTTCAGGCGAGGATGTACTGAATTGTGGAAGACCAGCGGGTAAATGCAGGGAGGAAGAGATGTGCCCACATGCCTGGCGTGGAGGAAACTGTCCCCCGTGGCGGGATTGCCTAGCGCTGGCAACTGCACCAGTGTACAGGACATTCATGTCACCCACCCCGTGGTTTTCTGTCAGTTACCTTCCTCATCTTCTTTCTCTGTCCGCCATCCTGCAGCCTGGTCCTTCTTCTCTGTAAAATGGTCCAGGGAGCTGAGCTACCTTGCTCTGGGGCGGGAGAGGATACACATTCACTGAGGACACCTCTGTAGCCGGCATTTCACGCGTGTTATCCTCCTTAGCAGCAAAACGGACCTGCAATACTCTGATAATCTCCCCACTTTACAAAATAGCCAGCTAGGGCCCTTTGAAAACTTTCCTTAAATTACCACCAAGTCAGGGCTAGAAGAAGCCTTTGTAACAGGTTCTATTGCTCTTTCAGTGGTTAAGCCCTTTTCCACCCCAGCACCCAATACAGCACGAGAAATTTAATACAGACTTGTTCAGCAAGGGTCACCCAGAGACAGTGATTTTTAAGCAGATGAAAAGCATTTTTTCAGAATGAAATTTTAGTCCTTATGACAACCATCTGGTTTGGGAGAACTCCTTGGACATCAGAGATTTCAAAGCACTTCTCACACAAACCATATGGCTGTCGTCTCCCTGGTGTACGCCGACAGTTCCCAAAATATGTGAGCTTGAAATTCCTTTACACATTTTAAATTTATAGAGTACCCCAAAGAAGTTTTGTTAATATTAGTTACACCTGTCAATGTATACTGTGTTAGGAAATAAGACTGAAAATTTTAAAAATATTTAACAATGCATCTAAAAATAACAATAATATAAAGATTACAGGTAAAAAAATAAATGATATCTTCAGTAAAAATATTTTCCAACCAACACACCATTATTAAGAAGAATGACACCCATGCTTACAGAATCACTTGACCAATGAAAGACAGGTGGATTTTCATATCTGTGTCAGAGTCAACCTGTTGAATGCTTTTTTTGTGACTGAAGTATCTCAAGAAAATGCTGACCCTAACCCTAACCCCACAAGATATGTAGTTGGAAATGCAAGAAATATTTGAACAGCTAATTCATAATTGTGACTATTCTTCTCTGATACTACACCAAAACTCAACAAGTGGTCATTTCTTAAGGGCTAGTTGTGATGTGGGTACTGAAATCGTATCAATGAATCAATAAACATTTTATAATCTCTCACATGAGAACTCACTGGATCTCAGTTGCCTGGAAGTCACCTATAAAATATCTACTCACTGACTGATATAGATTCTCTAAAAGATGTTTACAGTTTCTGAAAGATCATATTAGTTAATATGAACATTGATCTCGTCAGAAAAGTCTTTAAATATCATGAATCTGTCAAATTCATGACAGCAAATACAGGTTTTCCAATATTTTACATTTCACTTGAAAGCTCCAATTTATGCCATGGTCAGTTGTTTCTCTTGAGGTGAAGCGATGTGATCCAACCTCTGTTCCATGTTGCTTCCTCCAGTGGCCATGGATGACAGATTAGACATATTTGACAAGAGATGATTTAAAAATATATAATCTGGCCAGGCTCAGGGGCTCACACCTGTAATCCTAGCACTTAGAGAGGCTGAAGTGGGAGGGTGGCTTGAGATCAGGAGTTTGAGAACAGCTTGAGCAAGAGTGAGACCCTGTCTCTGTTAAAAATAGAAAAATTATCCAGGTATGGTGGAGCATGCCTGTAGTCCAGCTACTTGGGAAGCTGAGGCAGTAGGATCACTTGAGCCCAGGAATTTGAGGCTGCAGTGAGCTAGGCTGACTCCACTGCACTCTAGCCCGGGTGACATAGTGAGACCATGTCTCAAAAAAAAAAAAAAAAATCCATATGTAAGAGGATGAGGACCAGAGTAAATGAAAAAAAAAATTAAGGTATTTTAAGTCAGGCAGAAAATGATTATTGTGAACCACTGAAAATAAAAAAAAAAAGAACCATTCCTGTAATATCCTTCTTGTGATATAATAGCTAAGTAGCTGGCACCTTTGGGCCCCAGGAGGCTGCTCTACCCATTTGCATGTAGCTCTGACGGTTTCTTTTTCAGCAGGGAAGTGGAAGAAACAGAAGTCAACAGTCACTGGTCACAGAGGACAGATTCTCCCACAAGGAAAAAGGTCTGCAAACCCCACGTCTTTTCCAGCAAGCACCGCGATTGTATCCACCAGCGAGTAAGAAATGCATCCCAACCCTGTTCTAAACTCCCGCAAACAACAGCAACAATCAGTTCCAAGTGTGAGGCTTCACACCGCGGGCTCTTAATTCCTGCTCGCTGCTGGCCTACTGTGATGTCTCATCGGACCGAGCCCTCTGATTAACATAACACCTCCCCCCAACACCCGCACAGCACGTCTGCAGAGTGCCGGCAGGTTCAGAATAATTGCAGCAGCTATTTTTAAAGTGCTGTAATTAAAAATAGTCTTGCAGTAGGACTGCTGATTGTCCTAATGCTTTTCCCTTTCAGACACTCATCAATATTGTCGTTTGGATTACCTACGCCGTGCATTCATGATTGTAATATTTGAAATATCTGATTTTTGTGATTTGGCAGTCATCGGGCACTGGGATAAAGACTTTAAAACCATCATCTTAGAAAGTTTTGATTTTTCACATGAACCCTAGGAGGCTGCGGATAAGAAAAATCGATGCATGGAGGATAGGTAACTAACCTAGCATGACAGCTACACTCCGATTTCTCTGATTCCGCGACCACGTGTGTGCCCTTGCTGAAAAGAGACTTCTGTTTATAACGAGGCAAACTGCAGCTGAAATAATGTTTAGATCTCAAGGACACAACGTACACCTTTCGACAGAATTTTATCGTAAATAAAGGCAAATAATTACACGTGCGTCTATCAGCGGTCTGGGTCAGTGTTTGTGATAATAAAAATAGATTATCTAGACAGTTAACGAGGACTTGCTACGTGCCACCTTCCTTAATACATGTGCAGTAGAAACCACGGTCAATGTTTCGTAAAGAAGAAAATCTATGTGATCCTGGTTAGTCACTTACACCCTCCACGCCTGTCGTTTGATCCCCGGTCAGCGTGACGGGAAGAATGAGACTCTGTCGGAGCCACGCTGGGCCGTGCAGTGAGGGTGACAAGGCGTGTTCCTTCCTGGTTCCCCCTCAGTTCCAAGCCAGACTGAGTGTTCACTCTTTTCACAAAACATCTCTGTGTGGAAGCTGACAGGTGTGCCCGGCGGAATCCTACAGAAGCCATGGCCACCCCTGAAGGTTCTGTCCCCCAGGTCACCCAACCAAAAACCCCAACCCACATCCGGCCGGGAGGGGCTTTGCAAAAGCAAAGTCGCAAGTCAGGTGAGCTTTGGATGCTGGGAGCAGGTGGGTGGGCGTGGCCTGGCGGCAGGTGTCTCCCAGAGGCAGAGAGGTTTCTCTGGCGGGCAGCAGGTGTGGGGACAGGGAGCCAGCAAAGAAACGGGAGCTCAGTCCCACAACCACAAGGAACGGAGTTCTGCCGGCAGCTGAGTGAGTCTGGGAGCGGATTTTCCCTAGAGCTGCCAGGACAGAGACCCCCCTGGCCAACACCTGGATTTTGTGACACCCCACGCAGGTAACTCAGCTGAACTCACCCAGAGTTCTGACCCGTACAACCAAGAAGAGCTCACAAAGGGATATCATTCGAAGCTGCCAATTTTGTGATAATTTGTTACACGGCGATGGAAAACAAATAGAACCAGAGTAAGTGTCACGAGAGTCTTCAACCATAATGGATTTTTGCATTCAGTAGTTGCAACATTAATTTAGAACTAACTCTTCAGAAGCTAACGTATTACAATGCTATACCCTGTGATTCTAATATAATTAGGGATAAACAGCCAGTAGCCTGAACATGATGCTTAGCTATAGGGTCTCTAGAAGTTTCAGTCTAATCGGATTTGTGTTGTGACTGCTCAGACTACCTCTTACACTGATTTCTCAAAGACTTGAGTCCAAAGTGTGCAGGATTGAGCACAAGGCCAGAGTTTGTTCTTTCCATGGAGTGGGATCTTTTTTTTTTTTAAGTTATCTGCTGCTAAATAGGACAGTGGGTCTCCATAAAAAATAAAAATTTGGGGAGCTACGGCTTCCTATCAGTATCGTGAAATCTTCCCGTTGTCAATTCATTGAACTCTCATGTTGTCCATGTTGCATTCTAGTTCTTAATAATGCAGTCCCACTTTACAGTAAAATAATTATTTCCCCTAGTGTTGGAGTAAAAGTGACGGTCTTAAACCAAGTGCCTTTTTCTTTCCTGTGGTTTACCAGATTTCTGCCTACCATTCCTCCCTCACCTCTTTGCACCGCCAAGGGGAATGTTGTCCACGTTGGGAAAACATAAAAAAAAGTGATTTGCCAGACACATTTTCTGACTGTTCTCAGGCGGGGGCGTGAGCACCAGCAGGCACGGAGGCTCCGCCCTTCCGGAACTTACCATGTGGCAGGCTCTGATTCGTGGAAGAAGTCGCAGCCCCGGGAAATGTTGCCAGATTCGCTGAAGGTCTTAGGTGATGTAAAGTCAAGAGAAATTGGGTGGAGAAAGGAAGAGGCTCTTAATCTCATTTTTTCCCTCTGGTCCCTAAGGACTTTTAGGAATGTTCTCAGAGCATTACCAGAGGAAGTTCATTTCTTCTTTTTTTTTTTTTTTTTCCCAAAAAAGAAAAGGTTTAGGCAGGAGGTCAGGAATCCTACAAAGACATATGTCCTCCTTCTCAAAGCCAAGTAATGAAATAGATTCATAGTTTCAAAAATGCTTATTATAATCAAACAGTTCATGCAATGTCCAAACTTCTTCCTGATTTCTCTTCTGACATATTCAGGGCAAAAGAGGAACTTCACAACTCCAGAATGAGCTGGAACTATCCATTTCCTTCTCTGCAGAGAATCTTGCAATGGGCAGATGCTGCTGGCTCTCTGTGGGCAGAGTTTTCAGTCCTCATTTGTGGAACCATCTTCATCATTCTCAAAAACTACCAACATGTATTGTTGTCCGCGCATGGTGCCAGAAATGAAGAGCTCGCTTCCTAAATATGAAAGAGTTCACCGATGAGAAAATCAACCAGGAAGATTAAAAGTCTTTTTAAGTCCAGGGACAAGGGACACAGTAAGGATTCTCCTATCTGTTTGTACACCTGGCCAGCACCAATGTGGTACAAATAATCTATGTTCTCTGGGGGGATTACTACGGGCTGACTTTAATGGTCAATCTATGCCTGGAACAAGCATTCCTCACAGTAACTCTCTGAAGTCAAAAAATAAAATTTGGTCCAATTTACAATTGAGGAAAATCAAACAAACAAAGTAGTTCACTGGGCATCCAGTGAGGGGAGGTCCTCAAAATGAAGAAAATAGCCTCAAAATTGCACCTCATGATTCTGCTTCAGATATAATTCACCAGGAAGGAAAACATTCACGTTAAATATACAAACGAGCAAGTGACATGCACGGAGGCTTTCAGGAAAAAGGCAAAGGATGAGGCGTCTCTTCCCGTCAGTTAAATCGTGCTGGTTAAAATGGTGGGACTAGTTATAGAAGTTAGTCTCTATGTCTTTTCTTCTGGGACACCTTCTTCTTCTCTAAAAGGAATGAAGTGGTTATGGAATTGGACAAAATGCCATTGTACCAAGGCTTCAGCTGCAGCCCCAAGTGTGCAAGAAAGTAATGGGTGTATAGTGGGGTGGTGGCCCTGACAAGGCCCTTATTGGGGTCCCCGCGTGGCCCCCACTCTCCTGATGCTATTTTCCACACCATGCATGAGCCGTATCCCTGACAGCGTCCTGCGTTCCGATACTTCACAGCTCCGAAAACCCTTATCGGTAAAATATTCTACACCTATGCTGTCAATGGAAGATATAAACAAGCCTGTGGATAAGCCCAAAAGATTTTTGTTTTTCAATCTTTAAACATTCTTTCTTGATTAAATGAATCTGGGTGGTCAGATTATTAATGGTTTGTTTTGAACAGCACTCCTAATGCAAAATTATTCCTTTCAACTTAGTGAGAATATGTGTCAGTTTCTTAAATCCTCCTTTGCCGGAGTGGAAACTTGTGGAACCGTGTGTCCAAAAAAGACCAGATGAAGTCTTAGCGCCCCTGTGCATGCGGCCGTGGAAATAGGGTCTTCACGGAATGTCACCGAGGTAAGGTGAGGCCTCACCCAATAGTGTTAGGTAGATAGCGAGGGGCTCCGGGGATCCTAGGAATGAAAGTGGGTGCTGCTGAGATTCACCCCCCACCCCCGCCCAAAATGGGCTTTCACAGAGGCTCATGGGAGATCTGCCTGTGCAGTAAGACTCAGGTCATGCAGCTCTCAACTGTCCATCAAAGTGGCTCCATGCTGACGTCTGAGCCACTAGGGAGGTCCTGACCCGGGAGCTATGAAACGAGGCGCAGACCATAACTGGTCCCTTTTTGAATCCTTCCTCTTGCTCTCCCTTTGCTGTGACAATGGGTCCGGCTGTCATCTGAGGCGTATGCACCATGCTCTGCAAACCCGTGTCTTGCTCCTGGCCTATCATCCCATCTTTCTCTTCTCAATAAACCTCATTTCTGTGCCTGCCTAACTTTGGTGCACCTGCTCACTCTTTGGCCATGAGCGTGCCAACAGCAGGCAATTCAGACCACAGCCTGGCAACAGGACTGGTGTCCTAATAAGAAAGGGAGACCCCAAGACAGAGACACACACAGTGAGAACGTCACGTGATGACGGAGGCAGAGACCGACCGATGGCCACAGCAAAGGTGGGAGGAGGCGAGGAAGGTTCTGCCCAGAGTCTCGAAAGGAGCCTGATGCCCCTGACACCAGCAGGTTTCCAGCTTCCAAAGTGGCGAGAAGATAAATTTATGTTGTTTTAAACCACTGAGGTTGTGGCTATTTGGGGCAGCGGTGGTGGGAGACAGATGCAAACCCTATCGATGCTGAAAAGGGATTTTGGCTCCTGACTTTTTGCTTCAGAACACTCAGAAGGAATCATGAAAGAAGAGAAGAAAGAGGGCATAACAAGGAATCGTAAAGCACACGAGAATTGCACGTTCGTTTTTGCAGCTTCTGGAAGCTCCATCCCTGAACTTTTGTGATCAAGCCAGGGTGGACAATTATTGAAGTGACCTGCGACTGTCACTTTCTACCATGCCATCAGAAGGGAACAGGAAATATTGAGTTTTACACCCCTTCCCACCCAAATCAGGAAAATCCTTTGAAAAGGGAGATCTTTTAAACATGCTGAAACCTTAATTGGCATCCTTTGGATGCCAGAAGGATTGAAGACCGAGCTTCCATCTCACTCAAATGATTGCCCTCCTAAAGAAAAATATCGCTGATAGGGGAGTTGTATCCATTTAATAAAATATCCAAATATCTTTGTGATGGTCTACTAGATATTAAAGAAAAAAAGTATCATTTTAACAGGATTGTTGTTTTCGTTTAAGAGGTAGAAAACACACATATATTCGAGAGAATATCTAGACTAGATCTGGTCTTTGGAGGAATGATTTCCTTTTCTGCTTTAAAATGTTCACATTTACAGCTATTAATTAAATGTTACAAGCTGTTTAAATAGCCCACTGTTTCCCTTGAACTAAAAGTTAGTATATTAATGAAAAAAATAATAAATCATGAGAATTCTGTGATCCCTGTTGTAAGACATCAGACAGTGTGTTTTACATTTGGTGTGATGTCATTCCATTTAAAATGATCAAAATGTAGCTATTCCTAAAAATAGAAAACAGCACTGGGACATTTATTGCCTAAATCATGTCCTAAACCAAATCACAGACCTTGTGTTTTCGATTCCCAGCTGTCTGCACCACCCTGAGCTCAGGTCTTCCGGCCAAAACCTTTTCTGGGAGGAAGGTGCTGTCTCTTTAACACCCCTCCATTCTAGTATCTTCATTTTTTATTTATTAAGTGTAAAATTTAGCGGGGCAACCTGGGCCAAAATGTGCAATCCATTTGCATGAATGCAGCCTCTTTTATAACTTGATTCCTTCTGAGAAAATTATAGGGGAAAAAAAATCCCTTAGAAATGAAGTAGCTGACACATCACATTTATTAAAGCTTCGAAGCTTTCAAAGCAGATGACTTACGATTTTTCATCCTCAACAATGGTTTTGCCAGGATGCCTCTAGACTGGGAAGGGATGATTAACAGAGCAGACACTCATGTTTAATGACAGCGCACGGCTGATTCATTCCAAAATAAGTTCACCTTCGCTAGCAAGAGGAAAGAATGCAACCAGACATTTTTTTTCAAGTTTCTTTTTTTTTTTTCTAAAATCATTCATTTTCGATGTAAGTTCAAAAGCTTACGTATTTACTAAGTGATTCCCAAAGGATATCTAAGCAAGAGGACTGACATCCATAAAAAAATATTTTCCCATGAGCCGACCATGCTTTCCGTTCTCATCCAAATTGCTACAATATGTAAGCCAAAGCAAGTAAACAAATAGGTTTAATATGTGTAATTACTCCCCATTTAAATGGGTGATTATCAACTCAGAGCTTCAAAATAGAAACAGAGGAAAGTAATTAAAACCGCACCAATTGTGTTGACATGAAACCACCGAAATGCTACACTACCAAGGCTGGAGCGCTGATACCTTTTTCTAAAACACAGACTGGGATTAACAGGGCAAATTGTGCTAATGATAATGCTGAAATTGGCTCGATTGACCTAGGGAAAGAAAAAACATTTAATGACAAGTTTGTGCAAGTGATGCTGCTCTAAGGATGATTCTAGAAGAAGCAAGTCAGCACTTACCCTCGAGGGTAAGTGTCAATACAGTTTGTTTCCAAACCTCCTGTCCTTGCATGTTAAGTGTTGAGCTGCAGAGAACAAATACGTGCTTTAAAAACTCACACGTATGGCCGGGCGCGGGGGTGGCTCATGTCTGTAATCCTAGCACTCTGGGAGGCCGAGGCGGGAGGATTGCTCGAGGTCAGGAAGTTCGAAACCAGCCTGAGCAAGAGTGAGACCCTTGTCTCTACTATAAATATAAAGAAAGTAATTGGCCAACTAATTATATAGAAAATTACCGGCATGGTGGGCGATGCCTGTATCCCAGCTACCCGGGAGGCTGAGGCAGGAGGATCGCTTGAGCCAGGAGTCTGAGGTTGCTGTGAGCTAGGCTGATGCCACGGCACTCACTCTAGCTTGGGCAACAAAGTGAGACTCTGTCTCGAAAAGAAAAAAAAAAACCTC